TATTTTTTTTTTTTTTTTTTTTTTCGTTTGTATGTTTATTCAGCTCTTCACTGCTTTGCCTCCTCTGACTCTGGGCATCTTCGAACGCTCCTGCAGGAAAGAGAACATGCTTAAATACCCTGAACTCTACAAAACCTCCCAGAATGCAATGGGCTTCAACACCAAGGTAAATACACTCAAGCATGCAGTATAAATATACGTTTAGCTGAATCTCCATCAGTGTTTGCACTGATGAGATGAACAGCCCACTGATTAAGGAATGATGTAAATAGCAGATGACACACATATTTATAATCTGAAAAATCTGAAAAATTCTTAAAACGTATGCCATAAGGTAATGAATCGCTTGTAGATAAATGTATAGATAATAAACTAGTGATTTAGTGAATTTCCGTTGATGATGATGATGACCCTGTAGACAGGTCATGCTGAGTACACTTTTCTGACCTGTGTTTGGTGAACAGTTTGGCACCCAGGCTGAAAACTCCACTGAACAAACAGATCTTGTTACGACTCTCTACACCGTAAAAATGCAGGTCAACAGCAGGACCTTGCTGGTTTAGCCATCCATTAAACTGTCCTTCTCTGTCAGCCTTTCTGCTTATCTGAGATGTCTTTGAGTGTTCATCTCCCTTTTTAGAAGGTCATAAACTATTCCAGGCCAGTATGAATGTGAAGCTTTGTCCACAACGTCTGATAGGTATACGTATAAAGACACTCCTAATTTAGTCTTTCAAAATTGTATATATAAACTCAAAATTGTGCACGCAGAGTCTATAATATATGAATGTATATGAAAATAAATAAGGCAAAGGTTTTTGACTTCCCAACTTTTTGTATGTACATTTACTTGGTCTTTAAAGCATTATTTAAAATAATAATGTTTGTTAATGTTATTAATAAAAGTTATAATCAAGTTTATCTTTAATCTTAAGGGCGTATAACCAGATTTTAGATCCCTATGATGCTAGATATGTCCTAGTAAAATTATAACAGATGTTCTTTATGCAACTCCTTCTTCGCTTTCAGACCTTAATAGTGTTAGTGTCTATATAGGACAAGCATATTTCCATCCTCTCTTGGTGTCTGTGACTGCTGGCTTTGTATCTCTTTGTGTTAATAAAGCTGTCTGGTCTCCAGCTCCGGCGTGTCTGCGCTGGTGTCACCTCACGGCCCTGCTCCACAGGCGTGGAGACCCATTTACCACCACACTGACACAGATTACAGACAACACAAGCCCTGGGGTCAGGAGAGAGAGAGAGGGAAAGACAGATTTACTGGCCATTTATAACACAAACACCATAATTTTTACGTGTTCAATGAAAAAAAAAAAAAGGATTAATCAATAACAGAACAGTTTCTTGTTGGAAAAGGGTGAATTGTATATATTATTAGATATATTGTAATAGGCTGCTTTCTGTTATTTTTCTATAATGAAATAATGAGAATGATAGATTTGCATGGAAACAAGGAAGCAAAGACGGAGTTAGTGGATGTATATAGGGAAGTAATGAGATCGTCTGTGGAATAGCGTTGTCTGATATATAAACTAATTGTACAAAAACATTTTTATTGAATCGATTAAACCAGTTCACAAAACTGGTCTAAACTATTTATTTACAAATCAGACTGATATGGGCAGAGAAGTAAATTTTAGTATTGTGTAATGTCATTTAAAATTGTTGGTTGACGGGGCATTTCTATATGGTATCAAGGTGTTCTACATGTTATTCAGCACATTGCTGTGTGGTTGCTATGATGTTCTGCTAACTTGTGTATGTCACATTAGACTGCATTCTGTTATTTTCTCTATAATGGAGTAGCGAGGACAAAAGGTTTGCTTGGAAAAAAGAGGCAATGACAGAGTTTTTAGATGTTTAGTAGAAAATGCTGGATTCATTCGTTGAATAACAATGTCTGATTTGTGAACCAACCGTTCTTTTGAGTCAGATCTTTGACTCATTCACAAAAACAGTCTAAAATATTTGTGTACTACTCCTACTGAAATAGTCTGAGATTTGCATTAGTTTTAGTATTGTTTAATATAAATTATATGTTATGTTCAAATATATATATATATATATATATATATATATATATATA